GTGCGGTTTGGAGGGGAGCCCATTACCTTTGCAGTTACTCGGGGTGGTTTCGTCGCGGTGCGTGATTGGGAAGGGTGTTTGTTTCAGGAAACGGGTTTTGCATGTGGCCGTTACTTACAGGAACAAGCTGTTAAGATAGAGCAGAGTGCAAAAAAAAGAAAAAAGAAACCTCTGCCAAGCTGTAAGTTGCTGTGAAGTTCCCTGTGCTGAAGGGCTGGACGGGGGGGACTGGCTCTCCCAGCTCCGGTGCTGGGGCAGAGGTGCCTCGGGGATGCTCGCAACATGTTCGAAGCCGTTGGGCTCCACCTTGCCCCTGAGCTGAGCCGAGCCGAGCTCCCTTCCCTCTGGGTCCTGACACAAGCCAGGAGCCTTGCTGCGTGCTTGTGACCCGGGGCAGCCACGCCGCAGTGTCATGTCGCCAGAGGGGCTGTACACTAACTTGGCTCCATGCACAGCTGTAATTGGGGGGGGGGATTGCAGCCCAATTTGGGGTTGTCAGGCCCCTGACCCCTCAATTTGCACTAAGCTGTGAGGCCTTGCATCATGGAGGGTCTGACTCCTTCCCTCCCACTTGGGGCAGGTCGACGAGGGGGAAAGCTTCCTGGTTATGCTTGGGCGGAGAAGCCGACCCACGCTCTGTCCTCTCCCGGTCACCGGGTTTGAGGCTCGTTTGCATTTAGCCCTGCCATGATCTACTTAAAAAGCCGAGGTTGAGGACATTGCTATTTGCGGAGCGCCATGCGCTTGGGTACAGCAGGTCGCACGTCCCAGGCCAGAAAAGCCCGACTCAGAGGCAAACCCCTCATCTGCGCTTTGATTCAGCCGTGTTGGGATCCCCCAGGCCCACGCCTCCCTGCTGCGGGCTTTGCACGGCTTGCTGAGGTTGTTACCATCCTTGGAGACCCTTCCTCACTCTCGAATCCCGCTTTCCATTTCTTGCTCAGTCTATTTTTTCGCTGCCTAAAATGGAAATCGATAATGACTGCACAATCTCACCGCGGGTTTCTTTTGGTTTTTTTTTTTTTTGGTTTTTTTTTTTTTTTTTTTTTTTTGGTTCTG